AACTGATATTTTTCTGTGTGTTGGTGCACATGCACATCTTTTACTAAAGGAATCCTGACAGTGCCCCTTCCCCATATGGGCATTCTCTGGATGCCCAACTGGGACAGTTTCTCTTGGTATATTTTTGTAAAGTACTGAACAGGGGCGGGCGGACTGACAACTCATGGGGCCCCCGGGCAATAGGGGATCATGGGGCCCCTGTGTCCTTGCCCAAACTCAAAAAAGCCTATGAAAATGGTACCAGGGGCATCTCATGGGGCCACCTACTGACCCCAGGCCCTCGGGCAGTGCCCGAGTTTCCAAATGGTCAGTCCGCCCTTGGTACTGAATTCGCTTGGGAACATGGATATTGCTTTCTGACTTCCATTTTTCTTCTGGAACATGCCCTTTCCATTTAATGAGATATTGAATCTTTCCTCCTCGATTCCTGCAATCCAAAATTGACTCAGCTTCAAATTCAAATTCCCACTGTTATTTGTAGGAATATCACCTCTACTGGGGTAGGGATCTGGAATGGCTGGCTTAAACAGTGAGACATGGAACACCAGATGATTCTTGTATGTTTCAGGGAGTACTAATTTGTATGCCGCAGGGTTATTTTTCCTGTTTAGTCCAAAAGGATGAACATAGCTTGGCCCCAACGTCTGTGGTGGGCATGCAAGCTATAAAGTGGCTGTGGTAAACTAAACCTTGTCTTCATTTTTCAGGACTAGCTTCCCCCTACTTTTCTTATCATAGTACCTTTTGTTGCAATGTTGTGCCTTTCGTGTAACATCTGGCAGAAATGAGGGATGAAAACCATATCTGTTCCAAAATGGAGCTTGGTTGGTGTTTCAGGTTATTAAAAGCAAATTCTACCAGTGGTAAAAATTATGCCCAGTCATCCTGTGAGAATGCTGAAAAACATCAGAGATAAAGTTTTTAAGGTTTGGTTTGTACATTCCTTTAAGTCATTGCTTTGGAGGTAATATGCAGAATACACTGCCAAACCCGGAATTCAGGCGGAAACAGCAAATTTAACTACTCCCCTTGATATTTTGGGGGCTGTTTTTCCCAGAAGATCTGTATGCATTGATTGTGGATCAAAGCAATTTATATGCACAACAATTAATCACCGCCAACCCAAATTCAAACCCTGCCAGACCATTAAAATGGAAACTCATTACGGTTTCTGAATTTAATTTTTTTTTTGGGCCTAACCCTCAACATGGGCATTACTAAAAAAAAAAGGAATTGCGGCTGTATTGGTCCACAGACCCGATTCATCATATGCCCGTGTACTCTGCTGCCATGGCCAGGCATAGATATGAGAGTATAATGTGTTTTATGCATTTCAACGACAATACACTCTGTCATCCTCGAGGTGACCATGAATGTGACCGACTCCACAAACTTTAGCCCCTCGTAAATCACCATAACCAAAAATTTGCAGATGTCTATACTAGCTAGCAAACATCTGCATTGATGAGTCCCTCATTAATCTTTCTAACCGCCTTGCATTCAAGCAATTTCTCCCCAGCAAGCGTGCCAGAAATAGGGTTAAGATGTAGCAGACCTGTGAGAGGACAACAGGCTATACATATAAGTTTCGGATTTACGAGGGAAAATGCCCAGACTACATAGGGAGCAGTGGCAAGATAGTTTGGGACTTGGTGTGATCATTTTTCCACGTGGACAATTTTTTTCAGTGTCTATTTAGACATTTGTACAATCTTGGAATTGGCGCATGTGGCACCGTGTGACCTAATGTGTGACCACCATTAGAAGTAGGTGGATACAGGGTAGTATATTCTAATGGTGAGCATATCACACACTTTTTTCTGACAGAGATTTCTTCTCTTTTTTTCATTCAGTCCACATGCTGCATACAAAAAAAAAGAACATAACATATATACCGAACAAGGACTAGCGACATACTGGTACATCACTGGACTTTGAATGGTTATACCAGGATGATGCCTACAGCTGCAGGCATCATCCTGGTATTGTTTTTTTCAGACAACGATCAGCTTTCATGTAAAAGCAATCCTAGTGGCTAATTAGCTGCAGGATTGCTTTTACAAGCAGCGGGAGATGATGCCCCCCTCCCCTGCTGCCTTCCACGGCCTTCTCGGGCAGTCCCGTGCCATCGGGGGAACCTGAGAATGCAGAGCTGATTGGAGACCAGAATGGTGCCAATCATCTCTATAGTCTAAGAAATCGGAAGCTACGAGCATTTCATCATTTCAATTTCGCAGGATATAAACAGCGTTATTTGTAAATTGGGAAAGCATCTGATCACACCGATCTTGGTTTGATTAGATAATGTAAGGGCAGAGAGGAGAGATCTAGAGTCTGACAGACCCCAGATTTCTCAAAAAAGAATATATGACAATGCCAATTGAAGTTATAGGGGATATTTGCATTCCCTCTGATAGCATTAAAAGTGATAAAAAAATGAAAGGGACAGTGTAAAAAAAAAAAAAAAATCTAAATAACTTAAGAAAAAAAAAACACCCTTGCCCCCCCCCCCCCCTGCGCATGCACACCTGCGTGAGCTTTGACCCTGTGCCGGTATGTAAACAGAGGTTGCACCATGCATGTGAGGTATTGCCTTGAACATCAGATCAAGGGCAGTAATTCTAACACTAGACCTCCTCTGTAAATCTAAAATGGTAGCTTGTAAAGGCTTTTAAAAATGTTCTCCATGGATATTAATAACGTATGCAGTTTGTTGCCATTGCAGTTTTAAAACATGTCATGTTTGATACCTATTTACTCAGCAGGCCATCATCTTTTATATGTTTCCAAATAACTGGCCAATATATTGTGTTTTTGTGCATTAAATGTAAACTAAAGTGTATTTTGTTTAAAAAATTGCGTTTGAAAAATCGCTGTGCGAGTACTATATGACATAAAAAATTGCAGCACCCCCTCCATTTTATTCACTAGGGTGTTTGCTTTGAAAATATATATAATTTTTGGGGTTTAAATTAATTTCCTAGCAAAAAATACTGATTTTTTTTCATGTGAACATTAAATTTTTTGGAAAATGACAAAAAAAAATTTTTTTTTTACACAAAATTGTCACTTAAATGATTTATTGCTCACATATGCCATGGGCATAAGTGGAATTACTCCCCAAAAATACATTCTGTTACTTCTCCCGAGTATGGGGGTGTGAGAGACATTTTGGCAATCTAGCCAAGTACAGGACCCCAAAAGCAAATAAGCACTTTCAGTCTTTTAAAGGGCTTTATTTCCTCATTACACTTCCTGACTACCTATCACAGTTTCGGAGGCCCTAAAATATAGCACCAAACTTTTTGGAAAGTAGACACCCCAAGGAATGTGGTATCCCCATACTCGGTAGAAGTAGCAGAATGTATTTTGGGGTGTAGTTTCACATACACCCATGGCTTGTGCAAGAAATATATCATTTAAATGACAACTTTGTGTAAAAAAAAAATGTTTTTATCATTTTCCAAAAACTTGTGGAAAGGAAATAAATCTTCCATGGACTCAATATGCATCTCAGCAGATAGCTTAGGGTGTCTACTTTCCGAAAAAGGGTCATTTGGGGGGGTGTTTGTACTATCCTGGTATTTTAGCACCTCAAGAAATGTGATAAGCAGTCAGAAAGTAAAAGCTGTGTAAATTCCATTATCTATACCATAGTTTGTAGACGCTATAAATTTCACATAAATAAATCAATATACACTTATTGGGATTTTTTAACCAAAAAACATGTAGTAGAATACATTTTGGTCTAAATGTATGACGAAATTTTAGTTTATTTGGATATTTTTTATGACAGAAATGAGAAAATTTTGTTTTTTTAAAAGAATATTTTTTTTCAAAATTTTTTTGCTTAAAGCTCCAAAAATAAAAAGTGCACACGGGATAAAATACCACCAAAAGAAAGCTCTATTTGTGTTAAAAAAAGGACATACATTTCATTTATGTACTGTATTGCATGACATCGCAATTGTCAGTTAAACTAGTGCAGCGCTGTATAGCAAAAAAAATGGCATAAATTACAGTATCTATACCGTAGTTTGTAGACACTATAACTTTTTTTTACCAAAAAACATGTAGCAGAATACATTTTGGCCTAAATTTATGACCATCTTTGAATTTACTATATATTTTTTATAGCTGAAAATAAAAAACATTGTTTTTTCTTCAAATTTTCAGTCTTTTTTGTTTATAGCGTGAAAAATAAAAAGTGCACAGGTGATCAAATACCAAAAGAAAGCTCTATTTGTGTTTAAAAAATGGTGTAAATTTAATTTGGGTACAGCATTGCATGACCGCGCAAGTATCAGTTGAATTAGTGCAGCGCCGAGTAGCAAAAAAGAGGCCTAGTCATTAAGAGGGGTAAATCCTCTGGAGGGCAAGTGGTTAATTAATCAGATATTTTTAATTTACAGCATAGGAATAATAAGGATGACACCCCCCAAACCGCATTCTGCTACTCCACCTGTGTATGGCAACAAAACATGTATGATGCTTTTTCTCACAGAGAAGTGACACAGAGAGGCCCAAAATCCAAGGAGCACCTTCAGGCATTGTAGAAGCATAAACTACACATCTAGTTTTATGATTAGCTATCACAATTGTGGACACTGTGACTGGCTGCACTATTAGAGATCATTTACATGTAAGATTTGGGTGGATGGTAAAACCTCTTGGCTGCATCACTGTTTTACTGCCCCCCCTCCCAATTGCTACCCCTTGTATCTGCAGAGGCAGAGGTTGGGAGTGTACATATGCCATGGCTGTGAAGCATCTGAGGCAGAAATTATATCCCCTGTCATTTTTGGCAGGCATAGTGCCTGACAATCGCAACCCATTCAAATGAATGGGGGTGCTTGTGCAGGGTCCAAGGAGTTAAATCAAGTGGGGAGGAGTCTTCCTCACTGCCTGTAAAATGCTTTCTGAAGAGTAATTTCAACATGGACAGCTCTTCAGAGAGCACCAGTCATGTGAATGAGGCCTTATGGTGACACTGGGACTGGTGTGGTGCGATTAGGGACACTGAGATTGACTACTCTGGTCTGGTGACATTGTACTGCTGTGGCCATGATCATGTACAATGGCTGGCTGCTCTGATATTACTGTATATCACTGTAGCCAGCAGGGGCAGACTTACCATTTGGAAACCTGGGCACTGCCCGAGGGCCTGGGGTCAGTAGGGGGCCCCATGAGTTTGAGTTTGAGTTTGGGCAAGGACACAGGGGCCCCATGATCCCCTATTGCCCGGGGGCCCCATGAGTTGTCAGTCCGCCCCTGGTAGCCAGTCATTGTCTCTGATCACTGCCATAGCAGTACAATGTCACCATAGTGACACTGCACATATATATTTACACTAATAAAATAAATGTGGAGCAGAAATTAGGAAAAATCCTGAAATCCAAAAGAGATGAAAATCATTTGAAATACACACCCCAATGGTATTTCAGCCTATGGGGGTGAATATTTTTCCATTCAGTAACAAATATATCTGCATACACCATAGAGGTGGTTAGTTCATAGCCTCCAGAGATAGTTTGCTCATTGATAGATTTTTTTAAGCCATTCACACCACAGATTAGTTTTATTTCTCAATTGAAATCTCATTCTCATTTGAAATCTGTCCTGCAACCTACTGTATTTCTATAGAAGATTTGTCCGTTCCTTGTGAAAACACCTGAGCAAATTATTATTATTATTTTTGTGATCCTTCATAAAATTGATGTAGTATTAAAATCCTCTAAACTGCTCATTTACGGTACGATTAATGCCGGTAACCATATTCTCATATCATCACATTGTTGCTGAACCTCACTTGATAATATGACATATTTAAAGGCCCCGAGGGGAGGGAGCACAAAGCCACAGAGCCACATACATACAGAGAGAGTGCTCAATCTCAACACCCCAATCACATCAGAAAACCTATCCTGTGAGTGATTTCACCATTGCCAAGAGGAATTGTTCTATGAAAGAATTGTTTGATCTGGAGTGTGTGGCTATATAAGAAAGATTGAAGGAAAGAGGAGTTATTTGAGAGAGGACAAATAATTGCTTCTAACAAAAAGTAGGTAGGATTTATTACACAATAGAAGATGCAGATGTGTTGATTTACTAAAACTGGAGAGTGCAAAATCTGGTGCAGCTCTGCATAGAAACCAATCTGCTTCCAGGTTTTATTATCAAAGCTTAATCGGACAAGCTGAAGTTAGAAGTTCCTTGGCTACCATGCCCATCTGCACCAGATTTTGCACTCTCCAGTTTTAGTAAATCAACCCCAAAACATTTATGTTTCAGTGTAAGAATAATAATTATGTTACCTTTCTCAGCACCTATTCAGAAGAATACCATAGTGTTGCTAGAATTATTGAAAGGAATATTCCATTCCTTTTTTAACAAGCAGTTATATGATGTATAGCATGAGGGATGCCACTTTTTTAGCAGGAGGGCACCATATTTGGGTTTCTTACTGGCTCCTAGACTTTTTGAGTTGGACAATAGCAATAGGAAACACGAGACATGGTTATCAACAGCAGGGTCGTATCATGGAGCCAATCCCAAGGTGAAACAGTTCTTTGGTGCCTCCACACAATTTAGAGCCATGCATGGAGAGGATATAATTTCTGCTTCCATGGTATTGAAATAGTAGCTGCATCATCAGTTGTTGGAATGTGAGGTGAAGTGAGATGGATTTTTCATGTCTGCACTAGATCACCTCATGGGCTCAACCACTGTTAGGATGTAGACATCTCTGCCTCATCTTGCATCCTTCCCGGCCATCAGCGAAGATACGCATTTGGCCATGAAGGAGCAATAACATCCCTGCCCATGCTTGCTGGACCACGTGTCTTTAGTCATGTGGACTCTGCCACTTATGCATGGTCCTACAACATGGAGACCTAAGCTTTCACATGATAGTGGAGGGCACTTATGGCCTTCTGGGTGAAAAAATGGTGGCTGGGCACCTGTGACTGTAGTACAGCACAGGTCACAAAGTTGCAGAATAAACAACTGTAAAACCAGCAATTTTGCTAAGCTGACACTGAGTTGCTGGACATTGGGATGACTTGGTGCATATTGGTGCAATTTTTTATGTTCCATCAGCTGGGGAAGAGACACTTGCCCATTTAAGGATACAGCTGGTAATGGAGGGGCAACATTTGGAGACTCAGATCAGAGTTGAGACCTACACTTACCATTGCTCTGTGTGGCCCCTAGCTGATCTTCTTCTGCACTTGAAGTGATATAAGGTAAGCCTCTCAAACCTCTTGTAAAACTTCCATCCCTATCGTTTGAGGTTGCACATGGAAATTCTTGTGTAGTGTGAGGTGAGATAGAAAGGTATGCAATATGCACTCCACTCTAATCACCATCAGAAAACCTACCTTGATAAATCAACAAGTCATTGTTCAAGTGCATGCATGAAGACAGGAAGGAACTGTAAATAGGCTTCAGGAGATCAGCAGAATTGAGATGCAACAAAGTATGAAAAAAAGAAGGAGAAAACAATTACATTCATTACTGACAGTTGTTTAATACTTACAATGTACAATGCTTTAACAAACTAGATGTCATTTACTTATATTTTTACATCGAGCATAAAACCAGATATACCATGCAGATCAAGCTTTAGATTCATATTCTAAAACAGACGGTTTAGCAAGTTGGATGGACACAAATCCATATATGTAAAGTTATATGCTCATGTACCCTATGCAATTTTCATGGTACCCTCAGTAAAGATTTGTTGAATTTTACCAAATTTTTGTCTCTTATTCCTTTCATGATCCAGGCATTTCCCAAGTGTAGCATTATGTAGCATTTGTTTGTTTGTTTAAGAGTGACTTAAAGGGCCTGTAAGTTGTAATAATGACATTATCTTATTTGCTTCAATCTAGTCTGCTAAACATACTTTCAAAAGCATTTTGTTATATCTGTTTGTTAGGTGTAAAAAATGCCTGTTGATCCTCTCCAAAAATCCAATGAGCTAATAACTTCCTGCACTCTCTGACTCTGCTAACTGTTATCAGTTATCATTCTTCCCATTTCTATTTGTGGACTACCTAACACCTTCCCCATGCTGTTGTTATGAGGACATAGGGAGGTTTTCTGCAGTCCTGAAACACTTTCTGAACTCCTTGTTCTTCCTTACACTAAAGATAGTTCTTAATGACATTGGCTGTACTTTTTGTTTGGGGCCGTTGTCCTACTGCAGAATACATATGGAGCCAATCACACACCTCCCTGATGGCATGGCATGATGGATAAGTATCTGCCTGTATTTCTCAGCATTAAGGGACACCACTGATCTTGACCAAATCTCCAACTCCATTTGCAGAAATGCAGCCCCTAACTTGCAAGAAACCTCTACCATGCGAACAAAAGAAAGTTTTTGTTACAGTCAAATTTTTCAAATTTTGACTCATTGGTTCAGAGCCCCTGCTGTCCCAGTTCATATGTTCCTAGTTGAGTTGCTTAGCTTTGTTTCCATGTCCTATGCACGGAAACATAGGAACTGGGATGCAGAAAAGTTGCAACAGGTGCTCTGGACTGTTGAGTCAAAATTTGAAAGATTTGGCTGTAGCAAAATGTATTTTTGCAAATGGAGTTGGAGATTTAGTCAGGATTAATGATGTCATCAGTGCTGAGAAATACAGGTACATACTTATCCATCATCAGAGAGGCATGTGATTGGCCTCAAATTTATTCTGCAGCAGGACAACAACCCCAAACAAGCAGCCAATGTCATTAAGAACTATATTCAACATAAAGAAGAAAAGGATTCCTGGAAATGATGATTTGGCCCCCACAGAGCTCTGACCTCAACATCATCATTGATTCTGTCTGGGACTACATGAAGAGACAGAAGGATATGAGGCAGTCCACATCCATAAAACATCCATGGTTTAATTCTCCAAGATGTTTGACGCAATTACCTTCTGAGTTCCTCCAGAAACCTGTGTACAAGTCTATCTAGATGAATTAATGCTGTTTTGAAATCAAAAGGTGTCATTAAGATCTATCTTCAGTGTAGAGAAGAACAAAGAGCCTTGGAAGTGATGGTTTGGCTCCCACAAAGCCCTGATCTCAACATCATCAAGTTTGTCTGAGATTACATGAAGAGACAGAAGGATTTGAGGCAGTCTATAGCTGCAGAAGATCTGTGGTTAGTTCTTCAAGAGTTCCCTTCAAAAAGACAAAGAGTGGTCACATCAAATATTGATTTGATTTGGATTTCTCTTCTGTTAATTTACTTTCCATTTTGTTACATGATAAAAATAAACTATCAATACTTCTATTTTTTGTCATATATTATAGGGATGAGGAGTGATAATTAAAATTTTTGTTGTTGAGGCAAGAGTTCGCTAGCTGAATGCAAAACTCCTCTATTCCAGAAATTAATTTTTCCTGCAGCAACTTGGTTCTCCAATGAGGCTTGCATTTATTGGGGCCCAGCCAGGGGCGGACTGACCATTTGGAAACTCGTGCACTGCCTGAGGGGGTCAGAAGGGGGTCCCATGAGATGCCCCTGGTACTTTTTTCATAGGCTTTTTTTGAGTTTGGGCAAGGACACAGGGGCCCCCATGATCCCCTATTGCCCGGGGGGCCCCATGAGTTGTCAGTCCAGCCTCTGGGTCCAGCACAGAACAGAGTTCACAATGTGTTTGCAAATAATACAATGATAAGAAACCTTCAACATACCCAATCCTGCTCTAATGATTCGTCAGCAGACATAGAGATATTCTACCTGTCCAACATATTTTTAATCTATAATATGCACCTAGGTAGCTTCCATGCATGCAATAATGTGTGTTATCTTCTAGGCCTACACTTCCATCATGATGTCATGTTAGCAATTAAAAAAAAAAAATCTTTGTATAGATATACAGTTTCTTCCCCCCATCGAAAAAAACAGCTTGGCTGGTCAGGCACTTTTTCATACTAACTTGAAAAGACCCTACTTGCATTTTACTAAAAGCAACAATTAAAACTTAAGCTACAGTGTGTACAACCCCCATTACCAGGACAGTAAACAACTGAACATCTGACCAATTAACATTTTTTCTCCTTACAGTTATGCAGGTACCCTCTGCCAGTTAAGAAGAATTAGCATAGGAGTAGTCTGTCAGCTCTATAAATCCTAATGACCTCCCTTTTAATGTGTAAATGGACTTGTCACTGGTCTATGTATATACTATATTGCCAAAAGTATTGGGACTCCCCTCCAAATCATTGAATTCATGTGTTCCAATCACCTCCATGGCCACAGGTGTATAAAATCAAGCACCTAGGCATGCAGACTGCTTCTACAAACACTTGTGAAAGAATGGGTTGTTGTCAGGAGCTCCGTGAATTAAAGCATGGTACCATTATAGGTTGCCACCTGTGCAATAAGTCCATCCCTGAAATTTCCTTGCTACTAAATATTCCACAGTCAACTAGTAGTGACATTATAACAAAGTGGACAGCAACTGGGAACAACAGCAACTCAGCCACGAAGTGGTAGGCCACGTAAAATGACAGAGCAGGGTCAGTGCATGCTGAAGTGCACAGTGTGCAGAAGTCACCAACTGCCTGCGGAGTCAACAGCTAAAGACCTCCAAACTTCATGTGGCCTTCAGATTAGCATAACAAAAGTGCATAGAGAGCTTCATGGAATGGGTTTCCATGGCCGAGCAGCTGCATCCAAGCCTTACATCACCAAGTGCAATGCAAAGCTTCGGATGCAGTGGTGTAAAGTACTCTGCCACTGGACTCTAGAGCAGTGGAGACATGTTCTCTGGAGTGACGAATCACGCGTCTGGAAAGTAGTGTTGGGCTAGATATTCAAGTCAAACTTAAGTTTGACTCAAACATCGGCCATTCGTGTGTTTGGAAAACACATGAACGGTAAGGGGTGTTTGGCGGGCTCTTCGCCTGCTGTGCCCCACAATGCACTGCCCTCTGACAGTGCATTGTGATTGGTCAAAGCAATGCACCTGACCACAGGTCAGCTGCAATGCTTTGGCCAATCACAGCGCATGATAACATCACAAGAGGGCTAGGGTGACCCCACTTTCTTGTGACATCATCACTGCACTTAAAAACTGTCATCGCGGTGCAGCTGTCAGACACAGCATCAAGAGCGGAGCTTTTTTTTCTTCTTTTATTGCGTAGGTGGTGGCAAGCATTGTGATTGACATTGGATCTACTTCAGGGGACTTTTATTTTTTGTTTTTAATAAAGGACTTGTTAAATACTGTCTACTGTCATTTTTTACACTACACTTTTTTTTGTGAATGGGTAGTGGTACCATGTACCCCATGGAGAGGCAGGATCTGGGGACCCCCTTGTTAAATGGCATCCCAGTATGTAGGTTTCAATATTGAGTAGTGAATTGCCCCCTCTGTTTGAAGTTTGCTGTTGAACTTTCATTAGGTTCAAATGTTCGACAGTGAACAGAACAGGGGGGTGTTCAACCCATCACTACTGGCAATCCAATGGATGTGTCTGGGTTTGGCAGTTGCCAGAAGAACGGTATTTGCTTGACTGCATTGTGCCAAGTGCAAAGTTTGGTGGAGGGAGGATTATGGTGTGAAGTTTTTTTTTTCAGGGGTTGGACTTGGGCCCTTATTTCCAGTGAAGGGAAATCTTAAGGCATCAGCATACAAAGACATTTTGGATAATTTCATGCTCCCAACTTTGTGGGAACAGTTTGGGGATGGCCCCTTCCTGTTCCAACATGACTGTGCACCAGTGCACAAAGCAAGGTCCATAAAAATATGGATGAGCGAGTTTAGGGTGGAGGAACTTGACTGGCCTGCACAGAGTCCTGACCTCAACCTGATAGAACACCTTAGGGATGAATTAGAGCAGAGACTGTGAGCTAGGCCTTCTCGTCCAACATCAGTGCCTGACCTCAATAATGCTCTTCTGGAAGAATGGTCAAACATTCCCATAGACACACTCCTAAACCTTGTGGCCATCTTTGAAGTTGAAGCTGTTAAAGCTGAAAAGGGTGGGCCAACTCAATACTGAACCCTACAAACTAAAACTTGGATACCATTAAAGTCCATATACCTGTAAAGGCTGGAATTCCAATACTTTTGGCAATATAGTGTATATATTTATTACACACAATCAGGGGCGGACTGACCATTTGAACACTTGGGCACTGCCCGAGGGCCCGGGGTCAGCAAGGGGCCCCATGAGATGCCCCTGGTACCTTTCATAGGCTTTTTTTGGGTGTGGTTTGAGTGTGGGAGTGGACACAGGGGCCCCATGATCCCCTTATTGCCCGGGTGCCCCATGAGTTGTCAGTCCGCCCCTGCACACACAATATATTACATATTCCCTCACTTGGATCAGTTCTATCCAAAAACTGATCCACAAAACATTAATAGTAAACATATATTATCAACTAGAAGGGTTGAATTGTGATTTGAGGCATTGAATTTTTTACATGAATGATAAGGGCATTCAACAGCCCAACATGATCCACAATGCACTGCACTCTCACAGTGCATTGTGATTGGTCAAAGCAATGCACCTGACCACAGGTCATGTGCACTGTGAGAGCCATAACTGGCCAAAGTCACAGTGACATGTGACAAGTTCATGCCCCACGCTATACAGCAGCCTAATGTAGTCTGTTGCTGGAGTTTAGTGGATAATTAGTGATGTGTTTGGAGTGTAGTTTAGTGTGGGGCGATGATGTGATGAGCAGGTGATCTTCCTTCTGAGTCACCAGTGGGTTTTTTTTTGGCTTTCTTAATTTTTTTACATTTATTTATTTATTTTTGCAGCAGCAGTAAGAAAAATTCACCATGACTGCTGTACCTCCTATTTTCTTTATTGAAAACAGTAACAGTTTATAGTGCATCAAGCACTAAAGTATTGCACCCAAGCACCAAATTCCAATCCCACACTCTAAAATAAAAAATTATAAAAATTCCCCCAAAAAAATCCCCATCATGCCCAAAAGGCCAACAAGGAGAGACTAACACTCACAAGCAGCTAAAAGAGGGCAAACAGCCTCTGTCCACAGTGAAAAGTGGTGGTTTTGGACATGGTGTTTCCTCTGCAGGCAGGGTACACTTATATTTTTTTTCCGGAGCTGGCCATGTTTTTGAGGCACAAAATCCAGAAGAGGTGGTGGAGTAGATAACTAAGCCATCCTCATCCTCCTCATCCTCTGTTACCCAGGCTCATACTAGTTTGCCTTCCACTGTAGCTGCCAAAGCAACCTATTCCACAGGCTCCTTGTCCACAGCTACTCCTTCAGTAGACCAACCATAATGCATGGTGAAGTCACCTGAATTATTTGAACATAGTGTCATTCACATGTTGCTGGAGGGATGTGTAGTAACTTCAATGCCCTGATGTTGGTTCCCAGGTTGAGGAAGGGAGTGACCTGAACCTAGAGAGAGGGGGTGCCAATGACAGACAAGAAATTGGCAGTCATGTTCCCCCAGCCACAGCATACTGCCAAGTTGGCTCCAGTGACAAGGAGGGAGGGGGATGATGAGGTCACTATCTGTACTTGGGTGCCTGAGAGAACAGAGGAGGAAAGTGATAAGGAGGCACAACTCCAAGGAGGCAGGACTCCAGGAGCAGGCATCACACAACAGAGCTCCACAGGTGGGGGGCACTGCCGATTCCCCACTGACTTCCAAAAGTTCATTGGTGTGGGTTTTTTGCAACACCTGTGCAGCAGACCACAGCGTTGCTGTCTGCAGTCTGCCTGAAGCCGATCAAGCGTGGCCAAAACACCAGCCGCTTGGGCACCACATGCTTGATAAGACATATGATGACCTGCCATGCAGCCCACTGGCAACAGTACCTGAAAGACCCACATCATAAAAAGTACAGACTTTTCTTTACTCATCAATCCGTCTCAACAGCCACCACTGAGAGGGATGATGGTATAGCAATGGTTGTCACAGGTCCTTGCACCCAATCTGCTAGCAGTACACCACCTGTTGATTTCACCAGAAAAATTTCACTGCCCTACTTGCTAAACCGTAAAAAAAAAAAAATACTGTCCTACCCATCCCCATGCTCAGTATCTAAATGCTAGCTTGGCCAAATTGCTAGCGTTACAACAGCTGTCTTTCCATCTGGTGGAATCTGCCCCCTTCCATTAATTTGCGGGATGTGCTGTACCACAGTGGCAGGTTCCGAAAAGAAATGTATTTTCATGTAAGGCCAGCTCTGTACCATCATGTGCAAGGCAATGTTTAGGTCTCATTGGATAGGGCAGTCAGCAGCAAGGTCCAAATTACTGCTGACACTTGGTCCAGCAGACATGGTCAGGGATGATATGTTTCCTTCAGCTGCTGGCAGCTGGGAAGGATGCAGGACAGGGTTCAGTGCTGAAGTTTGTTCCATTACCACACCTCCAAAAAACTGGTGGTGATTCTGCCACATCTGTCGGCCACACCCCCTCCTCTTCCTCTTCCTCTATGGCCTCTTCTGCTGAATTGTCTTCTGAACCAGCAGTGCTCTGTAATTATTAAAGGGGCTATGCAAGCAGTCAGGTTAAAAGATGCCATGCAGTGCTTCAGCTAGTCTATCTAGGGGACAGGAGCCACATCGGGGCAGAGATTCTGTCATCTCTGCAGGAGCAGGCTCAAAGGGGGTTAACGCCACAACAGCTTGAGCCAGAAATGGTTGTATGCGGCAATGGCAATAACCCTCTCTCTGCCCTCTGACAGGGACACTTGACACACGATACTCAATATGCAATCGAGCTACTGGCCTGTCCTGCATCCAGTGTACTTTCTGAATGGACATTCAGTACTGCTGGAGGTTTTGTGATGGATAAAAGAGTGTGTCTGTCCACAGACTTCGTTGAGCAGCTGACATTTATCAAAATGAATTAGTCCTGCATCAACAGTAGCTATCACGCCCCTGATGCTGATGTAACTGAGTAAATTTGTTAGGGATCTGCAATCCATTGAAGACTGCCTATGCTTCCTATCCTATTCTTGCTTATGCTAGCCTCCAACAATGTTTTTGGTTTACGGCACCACCAACACCCAAGGCCCAATTTCTCTGCACCTGTTTGACAGGTACATGTAATTTACATTTTTTACAATTTGTTTCTAATTTTTAACAATTTCTAACAGCAGGGCCCATTCCTGCACTCACTAAGAGTAAAGGTGAGGGGTTACACCAACACCCAAGGTCCAATTTTTCCGCACATGTGTGACAGGTGCATATCATTTCAGTTTTGAATTTTGATGATGGATTGCAATGATGGAACCTTTTTTTTACTTTTTTTAAAATAAAGGTCTGATGTGTTTATTTGTTACTCAATTTAACCCTTTAGTGAATGGGTAAGGGTAGAAGTACTTCTTACTCATTCACAAGGGGGGGGCATCATCAGAGTTCCCCCATAAGTAAAGGGTACCCTGATGATAATGAGCTACTCTGCCCACAGACCCCCACAACCACCGGGCCAGGGTTGTGTGGAAGAGGCCCTTGTCCTCATTGGCATGGGGACACATCCCAATGCCGAGGGCATGTGGCTTGGTAAGCCACAGGTCCTCCCTCTTTCCTGGCTTGCCAGGCATGAGCTCAGATGAGGGTCTGGTAAGAATAAAGGGGGGGACCCCACTTTTTAGTGGTGGGGTTCCCCTTAAAAGTCCTATCAGGCCTAAAGTGCTTTGTATGGCTTTTAGGGGAAACCCCATGCACTTCGAAGTTCAAAGTTCATGGTCGAACATTCATTAGGTTTGAAAGTTCAACTGCTAACTGAACAAGGGGGTGCTCAGCCTACCACTACTGGATACATCTCTCTTCACCAGCCTCTAAAATATCCCCATGAAACAGTTATTAGATAATATGACTTTAGACCATGATAAGCAAAGGATTTTGGTAAATATCTGTGACCCATAGGCCTTATTTTATAGCTTGTAGTGTCTATCACACCAAGATCTTAAGTATTCCATAATGACCAGCTGATGTCACAGTCCAGTCCTGTGTTTGACTTTATTACACAAGTCATCTTTCACCATCTCTCTGAAAGTAATGCTTGGTACACTGAAAGTAATTGCTCTAATCCATATAAATCTAAGATGTTCTCCATTCAAGGCATAGGGGTTTCATTTTTAAAGATGAATTGTTCAGTTGTAGCAATCTTTATCACAAATCCAAAATAAAACTTCTGCCAGAAGTAATTTGCTTTTGCCATTTTGTCTTCAATAGAGCAGTTACTCAGGTCATTCAGTACATAATTCCACTGAACAGAACCTTAAGATGATTTAGATAGTATCAATTTAGCACTAATGTTTATCAGATCATCTGTTCAGACAAAATATTAGAAATTCTCAACCAGTATGTTCGCCATGAAAGGTAGAAAGTTCTTTACATCCCTATATATAGTAGCTTTCAGCATATTATAAACGACTGGTTCAATAAAATTCAAATTATGACTAGTGATACATTTCACTCATCCCTCTTATGAATTTAGAAAAAGCCACCCAAAGTATTATAGCCTCAGCTTATTCTGCCTAGTCTGAGCATCGGTGGGTAAATACTCAGACACCCATTAAGTCAGGGCTTAACATTTTGAGTCTAGACCTACTAGCCAGGCACAAACCTTACTCTCCACCAGTTGCCCCATTCAACCTTGCCCAGGTCCGCCTCCATCCCCACCCCCAGCCCCATCCCCCAGCCTTGCCCCCAGCCCTGCCCCCAACCACGCCCCCTTAAAGTTTATGAAATTACATTTTTTTTTTTTAGCATAAAGAGTCCAAAATATAAAAAACTGCAATTATAACATAGCTTTATTATGCCAATTTAAACATAACAGCAATAGCTTAATAGCAATAGGGTGCAATCAAAATATCAAGTTTTACAGCTTTAAACCTGTAGTAAACATTTTGTATTTTTCTTTGTTTATCTCCTGTATCTTTAAAAAGAGACTTTAGTAACTAAAGTCTCTTTTTTAAAAGATAGAAGTTTAGTTAATGTCATTTACCTTAAGCTGGCGGGTGTAGTGATGTGCACCGTTGGCAGGTCTCTCCTTCACGTGTCCCCCATGCCGGTGTAGAACAGGCCTCTCCTTGTGTCCCCCAATATATATATATTCATTCCAAAGATGTTCTGTTAGGTTGAAGTCAGGACACTGTGCGGGTCAGTCATGTTCCTCCATCCCAAACTCGCTTATGCATGTCTTTATGGACCTTGCTTTGTGCACTAGTGTGCATTCATGTTGGAACAGGAAGGGGCCATCCCCAAACTGT